ATGCAGCTTTATGCAGCTTTTTGCAGGTTTAATGCAGCTTTTTGCAGCTTTAATGCAGCTTTATGCAGCTTTAATGCAGCTTTTTGCAGCTTTTTGCAGCTTTAATGCAGCTTTTTGCAGCTTTATGCAGCTTTTTGCGGCTTTATGCGGCTTTAATGCGGCTTTAATGCGGCTTTAATGCAGCTTTAATGCAGCTTTATGCAGCTTTATGCAGCTTTAATGCAGCTTTATGCAGCTTTATGCAGCTTTTTGCAGCTTTATGCAGCTTTATGCAGCTTTTTGCAGCTTTTTGCAGCTTTATGCAGCTCCAGAGTTGCTTCCAGAGCTGCTGCCGTGTGAGGAGCTTCAGCAGGAATCCTGTGGTTTGGACTCTGAACGCTCCGACTTCTCCGGCGGTGGTGTGAGATTCCAGCTGGTTCACAAACTCCCACATGACGTCCTGCGACCGTCGCAGCTCAGGAGATTCCTGCAACACCTACAGGCTGAAAGGCTGCAGTGAGCTGCACCTCAGCAGCCTGAGCTGCTGCTTCATGCTTCACTTCCACACGTTTCAGGCAACGACCGAGCTTTTAATTAGTTACTGAGTCTACACAATAATAAAACACAGTTACTATATAAAATATCCTCACATTTACACAAATAACATAAAGTAAGCTGATCTGAAGGCTGATTCCAACACTCAACCTGACTGAAACAAAATTTAAAGCTGATTTAAAGCTGACTTAAAGCTGACTTAAATCCAACTTAAACATCATTTGAACCTGATTTAAAGCTTATATTTATATCTGACTTAAATCCAAAATAAACCTGAATTAAAACCCAATTTAAACCCCACTTAAACCTAATTTTAAACTTAAGTTAAAATCAGATTTAAACCTCAATCAAACCTGATTTAGAGCTACATTTCAAATCAGAGTTAAAGCTCAATTAAACTGGATTAAAAGCTGATTTAATGTTGATTTAAAGTTTAACTTGGAATAAACTCAGGCTTGAATATGAGCTTTAAATCAGGTATAAATAATGTTTCAGTGAAGTTTAAGTCAACTTTAAACCAGGATTAAGTTTGGTTTAAATGAGGGTTAAAGTGGGTTTGAATCAGGTTTAGATCGGGTCTAAAGCTAACGTGAAACTGCTTTAAACCCGACTTAAAGTTGATCTAAACCTGATTCAAACCCACTTCAACCCTCATTTAAACCAAACTGAGACCTAAGTTAAAACTGACTTAAACCTGATTTAAACCCAATCTGAACCGGGTCAAAGTGAAGAATCTTGCTGTTTATATCTCAGCTCGGTTCGAGGTCATGAAAGACGAACAAACACGTGAACAATCAGAAATCTAAGAAGCGAAGGATCGTTGAGTTTCCAACATGGCGGCTGTCAGATCATTTGTCAGAAACTTTTTGTTATTACTTTAGTTTCTACGTGAATCGGAGCCTCTCATGAATAAAACCTCCCGCCGCCTGCAGAGCTGCTTCACCTGCCATAGAACAGGAACCGATGGACTTTACCTGCAGCTCACCTGCAGCGTCGGCGGTGTCACGTTACTCCTGATGGGCAGAGCTTGACTCACATACCCAGCATGCCTCAGATACGGCGGCGATGAAAACCGGCTTCTGATAAAAGACAAACTCGCAGGTTTAAGTGCACGACACCCACATGAGACAAAGTTTATTTCAGCTGTTAAAGTACATCCATCCAGGTGAGCTTTTCTCAACGCAGTCCTGCAGCTGCAAATAAATAAAGTCCGGCCCGGACGCAGGCGCCTGTCGGGATAAACGATGCAAAAATATACAGATAGAAGGTTTTCCAGCTTTTTAGGATCTGCACAAAACACTGGAGGAGGAAACATGAAACAGAGAAACAAATAAAGTGAGTCACAGTCCAGGCCAAACAGAAAAACGACATTCTGCTCCCGAGGATGAACAAGAAACCTTCTGAAACCTGAGCTTCAAAATAAAACTCGTCCGCTTTCCACTGTTTACGACAGCTTTCGTTTTCGTAGCTGCAGCCAACAGTTTTCACACCTTTGTGGTCGTCACGTAACTTAATCAAGTCCGCATCGGCTTTAGGTTAGGTTTAAATCAGCTTTAAATCAGGTTTAAATGATCTGTAAATTGATGTACACACTGGCTTTAAGTGTGGATTATTTTAGGCTTCAAATGAGGTTCAAATCAGCTCTAAATCAGGTTTAAACCAGGTTTAATCCAGTTGTAAGGCAGGTTGAAATGAAGTATAAATTAAGATACATACTGGCTTTAAGTCAGGATTAATTTAGGCTTTAAATGAGGTTTAAATCAGGTTTAAGACAGGTTTAATCCAGCTTTAAGACAGGTTTAAATGATCTGTAAATTGATGTACATACTGGCTTTAAGTGTGGATTATTTTAGGCTTCAAATGAGGTTCAAATCAGCTCTAAATCAGGTTTAAACCAGGTTTATCCAGCTGTAAGGCAGGTTTAAATGAAGTATAAATTAAGATACATACTGGCTCTATAAGTCAGGATTAATTTAGGCTTTAAATGAGGTTTAAATCAGGTCTATTGAGGCTTAAGTCTGGTTTCAGGTCATATTTAAATCAGCTTAAATAAGATTTAGTAAAGTTTCAAATTGTGCTTTAGATGAGGTTTGAATCAGCTTAAGTCAGGTTTAACTGAGGTTTAATTTGGTCTTTAAGTCAGGTTTAAATCAGGCAATTGTGCAATTTGTGTTTTTGTGTTTTAGAAAGTTTTGTGTTATTTTGACAAATGGACAAAAACACCAGCGGTGACAATAAATGAAAGAGGAAGACCAAACGTTGATCTAATGTTAGAACTGATGGCTGCAGCTACAAAAGTGAAGCTGAAGTTCCAACAAGCTGCAGTTTAATGTTTTAATCAGGAACAGTTTGACATCTGGAGACGTTACATGAGAAGACTGACACCAACATCAGGTCTGCGTCTGAACAAATCTGTTCAGGCTGAATGGTATCTGCATAAAAGTAGATTTTCTGAGTGTAGAAACCGTTTCTGTCGCTTCAAACGGTTTGTGTTTGAGACAAACTGTGAAAACAGATTCTATCAGGAGGCTTGTTCAGTGAGATCTGGATCTCGTGGTGACTTTTGATCTGAGTTTTTATGTTAATTGTCCATTTTTTACAGGATGAAACTGCTTTATAACGGTGGAGGCAGTTAGCCTAGCTTAGCATAACAACAGTAGGAGTCTGTGCTTCTTCACGCGAGGCTTTGCTCAGATTAGACAGGAGAGAAGTCAGCGAGCAGACGTGATCTTGGTTTGGATCTTTTCATGAAACTCAGCAGGAATAAAGAGTTGAGGGACGTCTGGTCGTGAAGCTGAACTCTCATTCAAACAGGAAGCTTTACAGTCAGTCACACAGAAGCTGCCAGTTAATGCCCGACTGCATCCATATTCAATTAGCTTTTATTCCATAGTTGCAATGTGCAAACATTAAAACTTTAAATAGTGTGCATAAAGAATCTGTGCATGTTCAAACAGCTCTCGACTCGCCCAGTTTTACAGTAAACAGCAGCTGTGACAAATCACCCAAACCTCCGGTACCGCTGGACCGCATCGCCTCGCAGTAATCAGATTACTTCTCACAGCAGAGTACTGTATCTGAAGTCAGATTACAAACTACCAGTTTAGATCTTTATTAGCATTCAGGCCCCACAGCAGGAACTTAAGAAACATTTAGGAAGTTACCTGGACAAAGTTTGAACCTTTGGCCAACGTTAGAGCCGTCATGGACAGAGAGATAGACTAGTTCTGTTGTTTTTTAACTACTGTTGGACAAGTTTATGTACATTTTATTTTTATTTTTAACTCATTTTGGACCATTTTAACTCGTTTTAAACCAAATCTGGAGACATTTTGGACGAGAACACTGATCTCAGACAAGTTCAAACGAATCTTAAGCAACTTTTGAATCATTCTGAACGAATCTTTTGGGAAATTTTTGAGTCATTTTTGACACGTTTATGTCCGTTTAAGTCATCTTTGAGGTATTTATGGAATTTGAGGAGATTCTGGAGAATTCATGAGTAATTCTGAGCAAGTATTCGTCATTTTGGACAATTTCAACTCATTCTAAGTCTGGACATTCATTTGAAATAACTTCTGAGTGCTGCTGGACAAAGTTAAACTGATTTCAGATGATTATTGAGTCGTCTTTTGAACTGATTTTAGAACCAGTCTGAACTCATTCTGGACATATTTTGAGTCATTTGGGACAAGTTTTGTTGTTTTGGACCATTTTCGAGTCATTCTGAACAATCTGAACTCACTTAGGACAAGTTCTGTAGTTTTACTTTCATCTTTACAACTTTCATATTATTTTAGACGAATACAGTAACAGTTCAACTTAACACAGTTTATGTTATTTTGGAGAAATTCTGAGTAATTTTGGACAAATTCAAAGACAGTTTGGACGCTGAGTCATTTAGGAAGACTATTCTGGGAGAGCACTTGGTATTTTGCATAACTTCCGATAGTTTTAGAGCCATTTTAAAGAAATCTTGAGTCATTTTTGACAGTTTTCAACTAGTTTTGGACAAAACGTGCCTCATTTTAGACACTTTGTCAGCGGTCACAGGTAGAATCCCTTCAGGTGCTTCGTATTTCTACTCTGGGCTCTGAATGATTTTTAAAACGTGTTCACTGGAGGAAACAGTCTTCTGTTAAACTGGGAGAAGTAAAGTGAGCCGCTGATCCAGTGGGAATCATCGGCGTCTGGGTGACATCCAACTGTTTCATAACGCAGTCAGTCAGGTTTGGTGCTTGTTGTGAGTAAAAAACTGCAGAGAAAACACATCACCAGCCTCCGAGAACACTGCAGCGACGGTGATGAAGCCGAAGAAACAAAAAGTCGACAAAACAGCACAACACAAACAGCGTCGGGTCGACCGAGCGACCGGCCGGCGGGTCGAGGCCGAAGCCCAACGAACCGCCGGCCTGGTCGTCCTGAAGAGGCACGAACTGGACGACGAAGCTTCAGTCCAAAGAAACCAGCAGCTACAAACTACTTCATGCCAACAAAACACAGCTCCGAATAAAATAGTACATCTGCAAATCCAGAATACAAAAATACTTTAGTGGTCTGTTCAGTGACTGAGGCAGCTCACGTGCTCGGAGGGTAAATATATACGTTTTCTTTAAATCGACCACAAGTTGATACGACCACATTAAAAGTAAAAGCTCAATCGCCACAGGAGACCACGAACAGACGAACTGTACATTCACTTCAAGTAGAGGAGATCCATGCTGAGGACGGCCGCCGGGAGAGTCGAACCAAACCGGGGAGGAAACCAAGAGTCAAGCCGCCGTTTAGTCCGTTTTTGGTCGACGATCGGAGTCGTGTGCAAAGTTCCTGGTTGGAGAAGCAGTGCTCGGTTTCTCGTTGCATTGATTATTTCTGCGTAACAGTCGAAGCCATGGGTTCTGAGGCTTGGCGGAGTTGAACCAGCAACTTTAGTTCAGTTTACAATCTGCGGAGGTCGGAGCGCTGCTGGCCGGAAAGTCGACGCTGTGGTGGAGACAGAGACAGAGACGGAGGTGAGCTGGTGTTCAGCAAGCAACCGTTAATCCTCTGAAGCACAAAACCTGCAGCAAAGGTTAGAAAGGAATTCACCTTTTCAAAAACATTACACCACAGAAACGGATAAATCGTCAAATTTCCAGCTTTCTGACAGTCTGTGAATGCATCATCGGTGACATGTGGCTCCATTAAAAAACAAAACAAATCTAAACCTAAAATATTCATATTTTTAAAATTAAAAATAGCTTTATTGTTCGTGTCTCGTTTAAAAAAATAAAAACTGTTGGCGGCAGTTTCTACAAACCAAATATAAAAATCTCAGCCTCATATCATGATGCTGCCGCCTCCGTGCCTCACTGTCTGGATCATGCATCACTGTGCTGGTCCTGGCCAAGAAATGACCGACAGCGAAAAATTCAGCGTTTCAGGACGAATGCTAATTGGTTGAGCTCAGACAGGACGCATGTTATGCTGTCGTCATGTCCTCGTCCACATCAACAACGTAAACTTCTCCACATATTCTAAGATAACAAACCTCCTTTGCTTTGTTTTCTCCCTGCTAGCGGCTCCTATTAGCATTAGCTGTGGTCGAAGCTGTTCTTCATCGTAACGGAACCAGAACACCTGACCCGCCCTGCTCTGGGCACCTGGTTAGCTTTAATACCTGCGTGTCCTACAGCGTGCTGCTGAGGATCTCCGACACCTGCGCGTTGGTTTGGTCGTCAGAGTCCACTTCCTGGGCGGCGGCTCCCTCTGGCTCCTCCCCCTCACCTCCCGACTCCGCCTGCGCCACCACCACTGACACGCCCGCCGCCTTCACCGCCTCGCTGGCGTCGCCGGCCTGCTCCTCCTCCCAGCTCGGCTCCTTGCAGGGCTCCACGAAGATCCTCCGGACGTGGGGCCTCGGCTCCCGGTGGCGGCCCTTGCGGCTCTCCAGGACGCAGGAGGCGTGGCTGACGTAGGTGCTGCCCTGCGGCGAGGGCAGGTCGGGGTCCGGCAGCGGCAGGTCGGGGTCCGGCTGCTTGGTGTAGACGCCTTCGCACAGGGACCCGGTGGCGTTCTCGCTGTGGCCCCGGAGCCAGCGCTGGGGGCCGCTGAAGTACTGCCCCCGGTGGCTCCGGGACAGAAGCTTGCGTTTGGCGGGCGGGTTGGCGAGGGCCCTGAGGGGGGCGGAGCCTTCTTTGGACAGCAGCAGACCCTCCAGAGTCTTGGTGGTGTCGGACAGAGCCGGAGACAAAGGCAGGGACGGGGAGGTGGGCAGCAGAGGGGAGGACTTGTCCCTCACCCCCGGAGACAGGGGGAGGTCTCTGGGCGGGCAGACGCTGTACCTGGGGGAGGATGGAGTAATCAGATTACCCTGTAGGTACTGACCCAGTAAGCTTATTTAATGAAGCAGAGTTTACCTTCACACTGTGAACAGTTACACGCCACAAAACGACCACAAAAGTGACGACAAAATGTTTTGAATCGACGTCAACGTGATGCGAAACTAGAAACGAGCGAGAGCGACAAAATAAAACGCGTAAACCGACGACAGCGTGTTTATTTCTGCTGTAAAGTTTAACAGTTTATTTGC